CAACCATCTCCAGAAGTTCTCACCTTTCCAAATAAAAAGCGCAGCGGTGCAATCTCGGCTCACTGCAACCTCCGCCTCCCGGGTTCAAGCGATTCTCCCGCCTCAGCCTCACGAGTAGCTGGGATTACAGGTGCACGCCACCACATGCAGCTAATTTTTGTATTTTTAGTAGAAATGGGGTTTCACCACGTCGGCCAGGCTGATCTCAAACTCCTGACCTCAGGTGATCCACCAGCCTTGGCCTCCCAAAGTGCTGGGTTTACAGGCATGAGCTGCTGCACCCAACCCAATAAATTTATTTTTCTATGTCTACAAATATAACAGTCTCAAAGCGTACTCAAATACAGGGGGAATTCAGGCAGGAGGGTTTGACAGAGGAGTAAAGAAATTTGAGCTGAAAGACCAAGAATGAGTTTGTATCTGTCTGTTAGTGGTCTAATGGTTTCCTGAAGCCCATAAGTTAGGAACTCCTGAAAGTACAAACTGGTTTGGTCTTTTGTTTTGTTTTTAGTTGTTGTTTTTGTTGTTGTTTTGAGACAAGGTCTCACTCTGTTGCCCAGGCTGGAGTGCAGTGGTGCAATCATGGCTCACTGCAGGCTCAACCTCCTGGGCTCAAGAGATCCTCCCGCCTCAGCCTACTTAGTAGCTGGGACTACAGGCATGAGCTACCACACTCGGCTAATTTTTGTATTTTTTGTACAGACAGGGCTTTGCCATGTTGCCCAGGCTGGTCTCAAACTCCTGAGTTCAAGTGATCCTTCTGCCTTGGCTTCCCAAAGTGCTGGGATTACAGGCATGAGCCACCACACCCAGCACAAACTGGTTTTGAATATGAATGGAATAAAGATTTTCAAGGAAAACAAATTTTCATTTAGTATTCAGAACTCATCTTTAAAGTCTTCCATGTGATTTTCAACCATGATAGGCAAATACGGGTTTTAAAAAGAAGGAAGAGGAAAGTAACTAGTGGTTCTGAGCCCATATTTTAAAAACTCAATCATAGGTAAGTGAGCAAATGGACAAGAGATTTAAGTAATTTTCAAAGTCAGGGCATTTGCTATTTTATCAGTGGCTCAGAAGGCTGTCCAAAGGCTATAGATTTAAACAAATAACATGGTGTCCTCGAGATACTAGCATTTCCATTTTTAAGGGTAAATATCTGAAAATGATGATGTTCAAATTAAGAGTCTGGTGGTGGTTTATAGTTATACATGGAGTCAAAAGAAATCAAATACCATCTCTATTCTTATATACGGATTATTTATTGTAAAAATGTAAGCAATTACAAAGTGATCTGTTGCGAAATCAGTGCAAATTAACACTAATGTAATTCCACGTGAAAAAAAAATGAATTTGATCAATTATAATCAGGAATAAACATTAAGCCATGATGGTGCTCAAGTTATTTTCTGACGACACTGGTGTATTAAATGTGCTTTTCCTATGAGAACCTTAGAAAAATAAAAACTTCTGAGTGGATCATCTTTATCTTTCCTTTTTATATAATTATAGCCATATTTTAATATAATAGGCCATGAGGTGATATGTAAACATACATAATTTCAACAAATTTTATCAAATAAAATCATATTTCTAGCTAGAAACTTTCCTTCTAATCATTTTAAATGAATAATCCAAGCAACTGTCAAAACAAATTTTTTTTTAAATGACTGTTAAACCCTAACCTTCATTTTCCCCTGGGGAAAGAGCATTAAAATTGTTACACGATCTGCTATGGAAAGCGGGATTCTCTATTTTGAAGCCACTAGCTTGCATTTGCGCATCTAGCACCTGAGAATCTTCATCCAGTGATGAGCGGGTTACACAGGTGAACGCTAAGCTTCGCTGCACAGGCGCAGGGCCCCGGCCTCACAGATTTGCCTTCTCCCTTGCAGCCAAGTGAGACTCAGACTGCACAAAGGTGTGAATCGCATTCTGTTTTAAGAGAACAAGATGGGCAGGTTAATCACGTCATACGAAGCAACGTGATATTTACTTAGTTTTAATATGTATGCAAATGAAAATAATAATTCAGAATTCATTCACTTTAACTGTCTTAAATTGCCCAGGGCTAAAATGAAGAGTATGTGTTTTGCTGGTGACTTCTTTCATCTCTCAAATGAATTTCTGCACAGCTGCTTAAGAAATCTAACAGTGGCAGGTAATGGCCCCTGCAGACTGTAATGCTGAGTGGTAACTAAGCTACGCCTACTCCAACCTAACACACACGGCCTCTGCGTGGCCAGGCTGCTCCCAGCTTACCTTAGGCTTCTCAGCATTGTACTTGTCCAGAAGAGTCTGGATGCGGGACCCGTATTCAGGGTGGACCTCAGTGAAGTTCTTGACCTAAGGCCAAAAGAAAATAAATGCAAGCATTACTCTAACTCCCTACTATATCACTCCGCAGTGACTGTGGTTTCCCAGTGTTTACTCTACAGGGGAGGAAAGATGTTTCAGCAGGAGGCAGTACTACAGGTGTTTAACAACGCCAGCCTCAGTTAAAACGCAGGTCCAGTGAACGCTCTGACATATACTGGCTGAGCAACCTCGGACAGGTCACTTAACTTATCTGAGCTCATGTCCCTCTGCCGAAATGCGCAAGAAAATGACACCTAATCAGTATAATTTAAAAAATACCATTTGGTCTTTGTCCCCCATTCCCGACACAGATCTAAAACCCTTCGAATTTACTGTCTTTTATATACTACTAAGATGATCCATGGGGGCCTAGATAGCTTCCTGATGGAGGCTGGCACCAGGAAGAACAAGCATGCGATCAGAAGGTTAGAACTTCCAGCCCCACCCCCAAACCTCCAGGGAGGCGAGAGGGGCTGGAGATTGTGTTCAATCACCCATAGCCAATAATTTCATCAATCATGCCTATGTCATAAAACCTCCAGAAAAACCTGCAACTGGCAAGGTCAGCAAGCGTCTGGATTGGTGCACACTCCAGGAGCTGGAAGGGCGGTCCACCCAGGGAGGCAGAGAAGCTCTGAGGCCTTCCCCCGTGCCCATCTTCCATTTGGCTATATTCTTTATAATAAATCGGTAATCATAAGTAAATCATTTTCCCGAGTTTTATGAGTCTTTCCAGCAAATTATCAAACCTGAGGAAAGTGCGTGCGAACCCCTAATTTGCAGTCAGAATCTGCATAAGTGTGTATAGCCAGGGTACCTCATTTGTCATCTAAAGTGGCAACTGACCCCTAAATCTCTGGGTTCTGACTCTAGCTCCAGGAGTTAGAATTGAATTGAGTTATAGGACACACAGTTGCTGTCAAAGAATTAGAGAATTGCTTATTGTTGGGGAAAAATGCGCATACAACCTAGGCCAGGCGCAGTGGCTCACACCTGTAATCCCAGCACTTTGGGAGGCCGAGGTAGGCGGATCACCTGAGGTCAGGAGTTCAAGACCGGTCTGGCTAACATGGCAAAACCCCATCTCTACTAAAAACACAAAAATTAGTCGGGCACGGTGGGGCATGCCTGTAGTCCAAGCTACTGGGGAGGCTGAGGCAGGAAAATCTCTTGAACCCAGGAGGCAGAGGTTGCAGTGAGCCGAGATCATGCCACTGCACTCCAGCCTGGGTGACAGAACAAGAATTCATCTTTAAAAAAAAAAAAACAAAAAACCCACACAACCTACCTCACAGGATGCTGTGAGAAAAATGCCGAGAGGTGAGCTGCATTTACTGCATGGAAACAGCTGACCTCAGAGTGAGCGCTTAACAAGTTACAGCGATTTATATTGAGAAACGGGCCCAGACACAGCCTAAAGTTAATGTGAAGGATACAAGAATACTGGTACATGGCAGCGCCACTCCATATACTTCAGGCAGGAATTCCCCAGCAGACAGCAAGAGGAGGCATGGCACTGGAAACCCATAAAAGCCTTACAGTTTCAGCATATGTGAAAGCAGAATGCCAAGGGTTCCAGCTCAGTTCTGCTACTTGCAAGCTGTCTTATCCATTCTCTCCAGTAAAAGAAGATAAATCCCGCCCTGCCTACTGCACAGAGCGCCCGTCAGGCTCTCTGCTGATACTTGAACCCAGGCCCTTGGACACAGCCCAGACACCTGCTAGCCCAGCTGCCCCTAGGAACAGAGAAGAAGCAACTAGGGGCCAAGGAAAAAGGGGGATTTCTAGATTTGCAAAAAGCTTAGCTCTGGGACAGGCCAGGAAACCAGAAGTGAGAGGGCTTCATGCAGCTCGATGAGCGACCATCAGAAATACCCCAGCACCTTAGCACGAAAGTCCAGCCTGCCTTTTGGAAGCACTGCAGTTCTTATTCCAGAAATCATGCAAATTTCTAGTTTGCATCTGAAGGAGGATCGCGGTATCATGACATTAAGCCTTTAGGCAGGTTTCAAACCATAAAAATGCAAAACAGAAAGAAAGACAGATTGACTGATTGACTGATTTTAGAGACAGGGTCTCCCCATGTTGTCCAGGCTGGCCCTGTACTCCTAGGCTCAAGCTATCCTCCCACCTCAAGCTCCCAAGTAGTTAGGACTACAGGTACACGCCATCACACCGGCTGATACATTTATTATCATCCAAAGTTTAAGTAGAATTGCAGCAGGACTCACATTTTGATATTGGACATTTACTATCTTGCACAGAACTTGGCTGCAGCCGAATTAAACAGCATAGGATAAAATTCACTCTGAACACAACTAAATTAGTACACATTGGACAAACAGCAAAGGACCAATGGATATGCCAGACCAGATAAAACACGGAAAGAGAATAATCAGAAGTTGGTTGGGGATTACTAGTTTTTTTTTTTGTTTTTTTTTAAGTCCTCCTAGGTCAAGTACAATAGTAATGGCACTTTCTTTTTAGGGTTCTCCCACACAGCTGCACTGTCTTCCCATGCCAGCAGAGGGCACCCTTCAGCTTACAAAGACTCACCGCTTTCTTCTGGATGAAAATTTGTGCATCTTTCAGGTGGCCTGCAATGTTCTCACACAGACGTTTCCTCTGTTCCTCATTCAGCACGTTCACATAGAATGCCCGCACCTGCTCAGGGAAAAGAGCAAGTGCAGAGACTCGAATCACCAGTTTATCACCAAAAAGTTCACCTACTACAACACTTATGAAATCAATGATAAAAAAAGTTAGAATTTAAGAATAATTTTAAATTACTAACTAAAACTGTCATTTGGGTTGTGTTCATTTTTTGTTTTAAGCAAAATAAGTAAAATTCATTTATTAATAGCTCTTAACTGCTTTCTAATAATATCCTTTATAGTAACTGCTATAAATCTCTTATAAATAGATCTACAATTTAAAACCTCACCACATGCTTAATACTGACAAGTCTAAAATGTGCAAGCTGCCTTTGAATGTAAACTTAGCACAATACAACCTTTGTTCAATTCACCCAGAACCATGGAGGAAAATAAAAACTAATGTAGCTAGAGATATAATTTGCTATATAGATATGTAATTATATATAGAGAGAGATAATATATCTAAAAACTACCTCATTTATACATGTGCATCTATAGTTATTCAGAAGCCAATATTTCTTAGGCAAAACATATGAATAGTGGTATTTTGCTAGATTATTGGGTTTGCCTCTAAAATAAATATCCATAAATTAAAATGAAAAATAGGAGCTTAGTATCAGGTATGTGAATCCGAGCAGTCTCTGCCCAATCCTGAAACAGGCTGTAGCTATGATTTTATTCTTACATTTCATTCATTCATCCCACTCATTCAACAAATATTGAGTATCTATAATGTGCCAGACTCTGTTCTATGTGCTGTTCTATTAATGTTTATAAAGTCCAATAATATCCAATTATCCAAAGTATCACCTTCATAACATATTAAGAGATGCATCATTTCCCTAAGTCATCAAATATCAGGCTATAATTATGTTTTTAAATTTTTGAGTAAAGTTTAAACCTGCTACCAAAGTTAATCAGACATAACACAATCTAATCAAAGTACTATACCTTGGGGATTTTCTCAGGCCTATCTCCAATTCACTAATTCTCTCTTCAGCTGTATTTGACGTATTTTGTGAAAACATCGACTGGGTCACATTTGAGTTTCTATTTCAAACGTGAAATATCTGCTGAGTTTTTATTTCATGGATAGTAATTTTTGTTTCTAGAAAATATTATTTGGTTCTTTTTCAAATTTACCTGTTTTTCTCCTCATATCCTATTGTCTTAATAATATTCCCTTTTTGCATCTCTTTAAATATGTATGTTTATTTTAAAGCCTCTTTTCAATGATCATGTCTATGATTCTTCCATCTATTATTGCATGTGTAATTTCTCATTAGATTTCCTTGTATGTATTATAATTTTTCACTATGACTCATCTTCAACAGGAGTTATCTTCTGCAAAAGTACCAAATGTATCCTAGTTGTAAAAGTGTCTTCCTGTGGTGATTTTCTCATCTCTGCAAAGACCTAACAGGGTTCACTGATTCACTTGTTTCTCAGTTAGTCTTTCATGGTTCCAACTGGAATAAGAATGCAGGGACCTCATTTGAGCACAGCATAGGGGAAGGATTCCCAGTTTCTTGGAGTTGACTGCTTCCATTCAAAGCCCACATGCTTCCAAGCTGCATCCTCAGTCTGATGGGTAGTTGAGGTGCCCTTTCCTGGTTCTCACCATTATGCCAAGAGCTGAGCTCTAGTTCTGTGAAAAATGTGAGGCCTGTGGCCTCAACTCCTAACCCCTTAGAGGCATAAAATCTTCACAAGGTACAAATCAGGTCTGGTTACCATTACACAATATATACTTTCAATGTTCATGCACTACTCTGATTCCTTTTTCATTTGTGGGACTTGGAAATTAAAACTTTCTGGTTTTTTTAGCCCAGCTACATTATTAAAAAAAATTAATCCTTCTATGGGAAAACTGGGACAGTAAAAAATAAAACAAATACAAAAACTTAATTTAGCATGTCTATATGTGAGAAGTAGAAGAAAAGCCTCCCGTGTCAGCTCAATTTGCCATCTTGAATCTCAATCTACACCTCAGTCTGTCACCTCAATCTACAATCTTGAACATCTTAAAGTGTAAGAATTTGTTCCTGCAATTCCAGTGGAATGCTGCAGCCAGGTTGCTTATGACAATAGAAACACAGCCATTATAGAGATTAAATTACATAAACTTATAATTAAGTATAGTACAAACAAAAGTAATACTCAAAACATCATTTCCTAATTAATAAATATTACCTATGTTTTTGAAGTCATTTGTGTCTACTGTATCACTATGGGGGAAATACTATATAACAGTGATATAGTACATCATTTTGCAATGCCACAGGTTTAGTGACATCACGTTAGTAGCCTGAAATCAGCCCTATGAAATATTTCCACCATGAAAATGGATAAACACTACAAACCAGGGCTTTCTCCCCAGGTAGCCAGCTGTTAAATATTTATAAACACACCACTGAATAAAATCCACTTTAAAAAAAAACCTTGCTGTCTCAGAGATTTAGTTAATCACTTTTACAACTAGGATACATTTGGTACTTTTGCAGAAAATAACTCCTGTTGAAGAATGAGTCATAGTGAAAAATTATAATATATACAAGGAAACCCAATGAGAAATTACACATGCAATAATAGATGGAAGAATCACAGACATGATCATTGGAAAGAGGCTTTAAAATAAACATACACATTTAAAGAGATGCAAAAAAGGAATATTATTAAGACAACAGGATATGAGGAGAAAAACAGGTAGATATGAAAAAGAACCAAATAACATTTTTTGTTGTTGTTGTTTTAGTTTTGGTTTTTGTTCTTGTTGTTGTTTTGAGACAGAGTTTTGTTCTTGTTGCCCAGGTTGGAGTGCAATGGTGCAGTCTCAGCTTGCTGCAACCTCTACCTCCCGAGTTCAAGTGATTCTCCTGCCTCAGCCTCCCAAGTAGCTGGGATTACAGGCACCTGTCACCATGCCCAGCTAATTTTTTTGTATTTTTTGTAGAGATGGGGTTTCACCACGTTGACCAGGCTGGTTTCAAACTCCTGATCTCAGGAGATCCACTTGCCTTGGCCTGCCAAAGTGCTGGGGTTACAAGTGTGAGCCACCATACCCAGCCTACAGGTTTAAGGGTTAAACAAAAAAAAAAAAGTATGTGTACATATTCCGTCACCCGGGGTGGAATGCAGTAGAGCAATCATAGCTCACTACGGCCTCGAACTCCTCAGATGAAGTAGCCTTGATAATATCTATTGTTCTATCTTCCAATTCACTAATCTTCTCTTCAGCCATGTTAACCTCCTTTAAAAGCCATCTACTAAATTCTAATTTCAGTTGTTACATTTTCTAGTTATGTCCATTCAACTCTTTTTCTATAGCTTAAAGTTCTCTTACTAAATTCTTCATGCTGTCATCTATTTTCTTACACCTATTAATTTGTCATTTTAAAACCTGTATCTGACAGTTCCATTATTTAAGCCTTCAGTAGGTTTGTTTCTACTGTCAGTTTGTAGGAGGTTTTCTCTCCCTCTTGATTTTCAGTCAGAAGGTCTTAATGTGTTAGGTGCCTTGTCATTTATTGTTGAATGCTGAACATTTCCATATAAAAAGGTCTAGAATCATTTGAGGTTCTATTTTCCACCAAAGAAAATTTTGTTTGCTTCTGACAGATGGCGTAGAGAGAGATCACCTTAATCCAATCTGAGACTGAGCAGAGGCAAAGTTGTGTTTCATGTTTTGTGAGAGCAAGTTTATTTCAAGTTTGCCCTTATTCCTAGGCACGGCCCTTCAGGGATTTCAACTGAAAGCCTTGAGTGTAACTAGAGGCTCTGCTTCTTTGCAGACCTTGAATTCCAATTTTTGTCCCTTCAGACTCATAAGACTGCTGTAAACACCACTCAGCTTCTGGACCAGTGCTTACAAATTAACAAATACCTCAAGAGGAAACCAAATGTCAAATTTACTTCTCTGCACTGTTTTTTCTGCACTTCTTTTCTATCTTTGATCTTGATCCTTTAAATCTTTGTTGCTTTGTTAGCTCTCCAAAGCCTTCAAACAAATGCTTTATGTATTTTACCTACCTTTTCAATGTTCTCCATGAAATGGTAAGTATGATACAAGCTAGTCTGCCATAGACAGAGGCAAGCCCAAGTGAATCATTTTTAAGAGAATAAATCTGGACCTTCTTATGTATTTCCCATGTGATACATCATCACAGAATTATGCTATGAATCTATAACAATAGTACTGTGATTACTTAAAAACCATACTATATCCTATATAGTGATAAGAAACTCTCTCAATAAAATAAGGATGAGCACATAATACATTTTCATGTAGAAGCAATAGCCTCATTAATTAAGTTTTGCAAGGGTTGTATCAGCTGGTTTAATACCTGTATTGACCTTACATAGGCAAAATTATTTGAGAGGCAGGGAATGTACTGTAACATACTTGGTGTCATCCGCATCACCAAAAATAATGCGGTTACATAAAAGGTTTGCAGGAAATGTTTTAAGCTCATCTAAAAATGGTTTATATCCTACGATAATGTAATTTCTTTTTTATATATACATATATATGTATATACGTAAATGCTTTTCAAGCAAAGATATCCTCACAGTGAATTAATTCATGTATTTAAGTATCTTTTACTTGGAACCCACACTCACAAACTGAGAAACTAGAAATAGGTTCTAATCTAATTTAAATACTAAGTTTAACACTAACTGCTCAGAGCTCTAGAACAACTATACTTTTAACTTTATTATTTTATTGTGTGTGATATAAGTTGCACTGGACACATTAAGGAGGCAGCTGCCCACCCACAGGCCCTTTCAAGTCTGAGGGCCTCCTTCATAGCATGTGCTGAAACAGCCCTTAGGGCAGCTATAAGCGACTGGAAAGAGGATGAGCACTTGACCTGGGGCAGTTAACTAGAGGCTGACCAAGGCCAATGGTGCAACCTGGGGTGAAAAGATTAGCTAAGTCAATAGGATTCCATCTCTCTAGAATCTGAGATAGACATGTTGAGAGAAGGAGTAAAAGGTGGTCCAAAAAAAAAAGAGTAATACATGGAGAAAGATGCCTTAAAGGAGAAACCATCGTGGAAAAGACACAACAATGATAAAGCAGAAGCTCTGACGCAGACAGGAGAAAACAGGAAGCCGTGGTAAAAATAATCAATTAGCACCAGCAAGCAGAAGCAGACAGATGGAGAATAAACCACGTGAAGGGCGAGCTCTGCAGTGGAAACGCCCACACTCTTGTGGTCGAGGCTCCTGGAGCTATTTTGGATCTCTAGTTCTAGTCCTTGAACCTGGGCTGTCCTGCCCAGATTCTTAGATTTGTCTCCACATACGCTGTATATGCTCATTTCTTAAATTCCCACGAAATCACTGTTTCCCCGATGTCCCCCTCCCCATATCCCTTCAATAAAGTTTGAAGAAACTGAGACGGAGTCTCCATACCTTGAGGCAAAAGACCAGAGGAATAAAACCCTTCAACTCCAGCCAGTTAGGGGCCCAATTTACTATCACAGATGAGTCTTCCTTGAATTTAATTTAAGATACATCAGACAGTTTGGGCGTTGCGGGGTTGGGGGGGGTGCAGATTATGCAGGCATTGACAAGGAGAATTAGCAGGTGACTTCCATAGCAGACAAAGAAGTCATTACCTGAGTAACATTATCATCATTGGCAGTGTTGAATCTCCGCACTTCTCCAGAATATTGGGTGCTGTGCTCCAGGACAGAAGGCTGTTGTTCTGGAGCACCAAAGCTGTTAGGGTAGTAATTTGGAGCACCACCTTCAAAAGAAAACCACCCAGATGCACTTAGGAAGAAAAGTCAAGTAAATCTGCAAATAATCACTGTGATGAGAAATAAATTTAAGTGGTAATCAAATACACATGTACACATACACAGATATAAACACAACACACACATGTTATTTTTAATTTCCTGCATTTAGCTACAGGTAGTATGAAGATTCTTAGGGAACGTTGCCATCTGCTAAATGCTTGCAGAAGCTGCCGCACTTTATGAATGAATCTCAAAGTCCCTTTTGACACTTCGAAGGGTCTCATCTATCAAGTCTTCTGAGGCTTACAGCACATGTAGAAGTTTACACACGTGTGCTTGATTTGGCCACCATACAGGGATGAGGTTCAAAGACACATTTCAAAATTGACTTAAAAAATTGTGTCATTTGGACTCGGGTTCAATTCAAACACTGCATCACAAAATTCTTGACGGAAATCTGAAAGTTCTGGTTCTGCTCCTTGAATCTACAGACACAAGCATGGGGCTCTGTGATGTGACCTGACTGCTGCAAGGTCACACAGAAGCCAGTGGTAGATGTGGGGTTGGAACTCTGGGTTCTTTGTCTCCTCCAGCCCAGCATATACAGTATTTCCATTACAGAACTCTACTTTGCTATTCCTTGAAGTGTTTTTAGGATTCTCAGGGTATCTCTCCTTTACTGACGATGATGACTTTGTTCCATTGTAGCTTCACTTTCACACTCTCCACAGATCAATAAAAAAAGAATTTTTAAAAAAATGTGGTAATTGTATATCAGCACTTACTTATCTGGACTTGTAAGAAACAGTGACAAATACAATCAATATATTTTCTTTGACTTTTGAAATAAATTATGAGGCTTTTTTTTCATTTTGGCATATTTATTTTCTCAACTATACTTTGCTTTGGCTGACATTAGCAGAAGCATTCATTACCCGAGCACACACTGCCTAAACAGGAGTGGCCCAGAAACATATTAAGTGGTTTGAGTAAACCAATCTGGGGTTGGAATTTTAGCCAGCTCACTGCCATAACAGATCACACACAGTAGATATCAAGAGATACCTATGTATGACATTCATCAAGACACCAAGTGTGTGTGTAGGGGAAGGAAGAATACCATATTATTATGGAGCCCAATTATTAGCTCAAGAAATTCAACAGATCAGCCACATCTACATGAAAAGCAAAATGCTCCAACAACCAGCCATCACAGTGTTTTCTTCATTAAGAATTAGCTCTTTGAAATGTGCCTAGTTAATTTTTAAAATCCTGCTTCCAAATGAGCTCTGACCTTTACTCAAAGTGGGAGTTGTCTTTAAGGCACTGACCACAAGAACAAATAAGCTCTTTCACGGAGCTTCAGGGTCATAGCCCAAATGCTCTACTTTTAAAATCAGGCCAAGCACAGTGGCTCATGCCTGTAATCCCAGCACTTTGGGGGTCCAAAGTGGGTGGATCACCTGAGTTCAAGAGTTCAGGACCAGCCTGGCCAATGAAACCCTGTCTCTACTAAAAATACAAAAACTAGGTGGCGTGGTGGCACACTCCTATAGTTTCAGCTACTCAGGAGGCTAAGGCATGAGAATCGCTTGAACCCGGAGGGGGAGGCTGCAGTGAGCCAAGATCATGCCACTGCACTCCAGCCTGGGCAACAGAGTGAGACTCTGTCTCAAAAATAAATAAATAGATAAATAAATATAGCAAAATGTAACAGCTGTGGCCTTTGGGTGTTGGGACTATATGGGTATTTTTCTTTTTTCATCTTTTTCCTATATTTTCCAAATTTTCTTTAGGACACATGTATTATTTTTATCATAGAAAAATAAACTTTGTTTGAATATAGACATCTGTGGCTATAAATATAAATCATCAGTAAAATTTCTAAAGGGATCAAGGCATGCAGTCCACATTACTAAAACACATGTCCTAAATGGGAAAAGAAAATAACTAAGATCTATATTAAACTGTGGAATAGTAAAAGGAAAAAACTTCAATCAAGCATTCTGCTTGACTTATTAGAATAACTAGAACTGGAGGCTGCTTGTATATGACACCAAAAAAAAAGTAGTTAAAAGAAAAAGATTGTAAGTTTGATAAATGAGTTCCAAAAAAAACAAAAAGTGGTAGAGTTGATTCACATGACTTTATTCACTTAGGGAAAAATGAAGGGAGGGGAATCCTTTGACTTGCTCTGCCTCCCCTACTCTCTTCTCCCCAGCCTTCCCTGCTAATTCTAGCTCCCTTCCAAATTCTAGCTAGGGCTAAACCTGCTCCTCCGGGGCCACAACAGAACTGCAAAGAGAAACAAAAGACTCCAACTCTTGGCTTTCGCACTTCTATGGGTCTAAGTCTTGGTGATTTCACAGTGATTTCAGGAACTGTCCTTTTTGGTGAAGAGTCTTCAAAACCTAACTTCTAAGCTGGATGCTACCGTACTCTAGCCAGTGTGAAAGATCTTACTCCCTGCTTTTAACTACTGGATACAAGTAATATCTGAAGTGGAAACTCTCAATAAAATATATAAAATAGATTAAAAGCATGGAGAGTCCTCAGGCAGCCTAAATCTTCACTGCTGGGCAAAAAAATGCCCAGTTAGCAGCACCTGGAGAGCACCTTCACCAAGCAGGAGGTCCTGCGGGGCCACCTTGAGAGCCACTGGCCTGGCCTCCCGCCCATCTGCTCCACATGCCCTCTGCCCGCGCAGGGGGAGCCCAATGTCTCAAGGCCTACCCTGATTGTCCTGCATGCACATGGGGCCGTCACGCTGGTAGTTGGTCACTCGAGCACGGTAGGGACAGTTCACAGGTATCTGAAGATAATTGGGTCCCAGGCGGTGGCGGTGAGTGTCAGGATAGGCAAAAAGGCGGCCCTGCAGTAATAAACGCAATAGATACTGACTAGGGGCAGTAACATATAACATAGGAATGGGCTGTAAACTTCATTCTGAAATTTGAAGTACAAAGCACTCTGTACATGGTTACCATAAAATTCTGCCTTTCCCCCTACTTAAGAGTGAAGCCTCTACTCTTGTAAGTTCTCCCTAACTGAACAGTTCTTAATTTCCCAGGCCCTATGGCCAACCACAAATCTTCCCGTCTGTTTTAGGCAATAATAGCTTTTTTTTCCCTTCTGCATAACAAGTTAGTGTCTTGTCTTATACTGTATTACGTGCTGTTCCCAAGGAAGTATCACATTACAAAACAAATGTGCTAGAACATTAACTAACTGAAATATTGAATTAATTCTATTCCTCCTCATTCCCTTACTCCAGGGGAGGCACCAATCATTTGCTCTTAACAAAAAGCAACAAATTTCTACAAAACCAACAGTATGGGAAATTCTTCAAATAAGCACTTCCAACTGGGCACAGTGGCTCATGCCTATTATAATCTCAGCACTCTGGGAGGCCAAGGTGGGAGGATCACTTGGGCCCAGTTGTTTGAGACCAGCCTGGGCAACACAGCAAGACCTGTCTCTACAAAAAAAAAAAAAATTAAAACATTAGCCAAGCATGGTGGCATGTGCCTGTAGTCCCAGCTACTCCAAGAGGGTGAAGTGGGAGGACTGCTTGGCCCAGGGGGTTGAGGCAGCAGTGAGCTGCAATCGTGTCACTGTACTCCAGCCTGGACAACAGAGCAAGATCAGGAAAAAAAAAAGTACCTCCCATGCTGCCTTCTGAATTATTTCAGATACACTTTGAGCTCTGAGACTTTCTAGATATGAACAACAATAAAGAAAATCTATGGTTCAAAATGAAAGCCCTACAATGCCAAAAGTCATGAATCTAAGATTAAATTATGTTCCATATTAACCAAGGCAAGGATGGCAAGCATTCTGAAATTTCTTCCAGTTAATGCTTAAACAAAAGCTTTAAGATAAATTCCACATTAATCTTAACATCTAATGATTGAACTATTCTCATTATTCCTACTTCTTTTCTATAAGCAATTTTTCTTCCACTAAATTTATCACTGGCCTTGAATCTTAAAAGTATTTTTAGATCCCTAATTCTATGAGGCAAAATAAAAACCAAATTGAATAAGGCAACTTAAGCAATAACTTTGTACCAAATCACTGATACCAACAGACTTAATCCAGTCCCAGGGTTCTGTCAATATTTTGCTCTTGGCTGAATGACTCCCTCTTATCATCATTTCAAATAGCCTAAGGTCATATTTAGATGACCAGCCATGCAGTCATAACCAAAACTCAGCTATAGGTTGGAAGCTGGTTGTCTCCTCTGGCTCAAAAAGTTGTGCTCTTGACTCCATCAACAGGATAGGAGATACAATCCTGCCGTGGGCAGCTCCTGAATGTAGCCTCTATCACATAATTCTGATTTTGTGTCACCCTGTGTTTATCAGGCAACCTTACGCCACCTATGGGTGGAGACCAGCAAAGGTTGGGAAATGGGCACAGTGAGGTCATACCCTGACACCAGTTTGAATCTAGGCCTTCCCCAAGGCCCTGTGCCTGAACTCCCTTGCTGAGTGGGAAAGCCTTTCCCACTCAAGCAACCGGCTCAACTTCTCCAACTCTTGGCAAAATACAGAGAATGAGAGCAAGAAAAGCTGCACCTGTGTCCTCAGGTATTCAGGGGACAGTCTCTCCATGACTTGTATTATATTGTTTGTCCATTTCATCATGGTGTGGCTCACCACTTTGGATAAAGTTATAAAACTTATTAACATGACCTTGTTAAAAGACACCTGTAAACACTGCCCATTCATATACCAACTGCCACTGCCTAGGCTACAATACTCATGAGCTCTCAGCAAGAATAACCCCAAAGCCCTCCTAACTGGCTTTCCACTTCCAGTCCAACAAGACAATCTACATACTCCCTACTCAAAAATCTCAAATCATTCCTTAATGGTCACCAAATGGCTAAATGAGTAAAACAGTCCTTCCCTAACTGTATGGCTCCTCACAGGCTCCATGGTATTGGAACTCATAGCTAAATGACCTAAGAAGGGTGGGGAAAAGCTAGGCTAGAAACAGTAACTCGACAAACTTACGAAAGCTCTTCCAAACACTTTCTAAAACTCAACTTAAAAAAAAAAACCTATAAAGAGTACACTGAACTTAAAATAGATATATTTGCCCGAACTGAAATTAATACTAATAGAAATTACATTAATTTCTACTTGTCATCCTTTTTCAGGACTCTCTTCCCCACTGTTTCAATAGCTGCCTTAGACATTTGCTTTCTTAGGATGTAGAGAATATGTATTTGCTTTGCAGTCCTTTTCTAGGGGGCCTAGTTCTCCATTCAAATCTTCACTGTTCTTCAAATTCTATAACTCAGTGCTGCTAACTGCCTCACGGTCCCACTGCGGTTCCAAAGACCCATGGTGACTTGGATTCTTGTGAAAACAGTTTAGGCAACCTTGTATTCCTCAATCCATTCCCTCCCTGTCTAACCAGAGTTATGCAGCCTTAGCTCTGCCCATGACAATTTCATGCCTTGGCAAATCCCATTAGCTTCACCCTCACACAGTTCAGCCACCAGGCAGGGAGTTTCAGGGCCCAGGGTCACACTGTTTTAGCTTCCTCTACTCCCTGGTTTCAATGCAACTTCTGCTTTTCCTCTGAGAACTGCCTGACTTTCCTTTTTCTATTCCCAACCCCTAGTTCCCGCTTTTTCTATTTATCACCAAGAGGAGTGATTCTACTCAATACATCCCAGACCACATTTCTCAAAACTGAAGAAAGTTCTTCATTCCTACTCAAGCATTTAAGTTCCCCTCTGACATATACTCAACGAACCTATCCAAATTCTATTCTTCTCATTCAGGAAAGAGTGACTGTTTATAGTTTCAACACACCTAACATGTTCCATCATTGTGCCTATACTCAAGTCCTTCTCCTGCCCCATTTTACCTACTAAAAATCAAAATCCTATCTATTCTTCAAAACAATCTCAAATGTTACCTCGTTCATGAAACTCTGTGGCCGGCCTCCTATCAGACAAAATTTTGCCTCCTGGATCACCATGGCACTCTGCCTTACGTTATGGCACCCAAGACAGTCCACCATACACAACAGACAGGTACTCAATTTATAATAGTTGAACTGAACTAAAAACTAATGAAAAACTTACTTTCTATAAAAGCCTCAGATGCTCCCCAATGTCGTAACCAAAAAAGTTATTTTTTAAAAAACTTAAGCTTGTCCTCCATGCAGACTGAAACCTGAACTGGAATCAGATACTTTACATAAGAAGTAACCTTCAGTCGCTGTGGTCTGATTTGGGGTACAATCTTTAACCTTTGTTTCAAGGTCACAATCCAAAACCACAAGAGATCGATTTACACAGTAATTATTAAGCCAATTATTTTCCTACTGATTCTGATCCAAAGTAGAATTTTTCACTCTTGGTACTCTTGAAAGAGCATATTAAAAAGTAAAACATACTGATAGCTTAACAACATTAGCAAGGTGAATGGTTAATCCACTGCCTTTATCACTGGCAGCATACATGCAGTTCATAAAAATCATCCCTAGATCTCTTTTTACAAATGGAAATATTCAAGCATCACCGTGAAATAGAAAATGAGGCCGGCAGCAGCGGCTCACGCCTGTAATCCCAGCACTTTGGGAGGCCGAAGCAGGCAGATCACTTGAGGTCAAGAGTTTGAGACCAGCCTGGCCAACATGGCAAAACCCCGTCTCTACTAAAAATACAAAAATTAGCTGGGCATGGTGGCGGGTGCCTGTAATGGCAGCTAATCAAGAGGCTGAGGCAGGAGGATTGCTTGAACCTGCGAGGCGGAGGTTGCAGTGAGCCGAGATCACACCACTGTACTTCAGCCTGGGCAATGGAGCAAGATCCCATCTCAAAAAAAAAAAAAAAGAAAATGAATACAGTTAGGCTTACCAAGGTATTATAATTAATTAACCATACTTCAGTTACAGACCGAACAAATGATGTTTCACTCTACCAATACTTAAGGTATTTCTATTATGTCTTTTTCTTTTTTTTTAATTAAGAGACTAAGTATTCTTGTCTTCACATATGTAGGGACTTTACCATGGAATTTTGTTTATACTTGGTTTTTTCAAGGAATGCTCACTGAAGGATAGTTTACCTCAGTGAGTCCCACAAGGTAACCAAGCACCTAGATTAAAGTTCAAGTAATGTTCTCGTTAATTCCTCATATAAGGATCATGCCAAGCTGCACATTTTGTGTGTGCACACTCACATGGACACCTGCCTCAAACATCTCAATCCACCAGGCTCACCTGAAGCATTTTGTCAGGGCTGCTCTCAATGCCAGGGGGCATGTTGCTTGGGTCGAAGGCTATCTGTTCAACCTCAGCAAAGTAATTAACTGGATTCCGGTTTAAGACCAGTTTACCAACTGGGATGAGAGGGTAGTCCTTGTGAGGCCAAACCTGAAAATGATGTCATATTCATAATTAACAGGCAATCAACCAAAGGAAATTAAAGCTACCCACAAAAATACCAGATTTCACATACAATCAAGCCAATGAAAATAATTTTTAAATCCAATAAAACATAAGAATTTAAGACGAGTGCCTTAGTTAAATCTTTCACAATAGGAAGTGGTAAGTACTGACAGTTTCCCTAGGAAAAAGTACATCAGCTTTTCATAATCTGTTCCCTGTTAATAACAATATATGAAGCCACATACACATACTCAATGAAATGACAAACAGGAATGTGGAAGCAAGATGCTGGTAAAGGACACTCTGAAGTGGTACCCTCTGTATTTTGTATATGACTTCCCCATCGTTATAATTGTTTGACTAGATTTTTTTTCTAATTAGGTAAGAAGAGACTTAAAAAAGAAAACAATATAGCTGTTACTGACTCACCTTGGTGAGATCAAATGGATTAAATGGAAAAGTTTCTGCCTGATTAAATGTCATGACCTGGATGTAAAAAGTCCAGGAGGGGTAGTTTCCTGTGGCAATGGCGTTAAAAAGATCCCGGATGCCATAGTCAGGATCTTCCTGGGAAAGTCTCGCCGCATCTTCAACAGAAAGGTTTTTGATGCCCTGGTCAGTCTACAAAATGAGAGAAAGAAGCTCCAATGGAAACTTATTGGCAAAGTTATCAAAATGTAATCAGTAATTCATTGAAGGATTATGAGTAACACCACCCAAAGAATGAACTTTCTTTACAACAATACTTCCATTGTTCAAATCTGATACTAATGAATTTATCAACAAGAAATTCTATTTGATTATCCCAATACTTTTAAATGTCAAGGAAATCCCAGCTACACATTTCATATTTAAAATCAGTCCTATCTGTTTATGTATTCTATTATTTGAATTTTTACACTCATGTTACTTTCCAAATCAGAAAAATCAAAATGTATCTTAAAAGTAGGCAAAGGATTAATAAAATTAAAGGACTACTTCCCTTTTACCGTGAAGTAATGTTTTAATTCCACTTCATGATAGCTCAAATCAATTACTGAGACTGTGCTCAGCTAGTATACCTTCACCCCTGTCCTATTCCTTTTTTAAAAAAAAATAAATTATAGAATCATAGCTCATAGAGCTGAAAAGAACTTCAGTACAACTACCTGGAACTAGTTCTCTGACTATGAGCAGGCAAAATTAATATTCTGACTTTCCAAGCAAGCCATTAAAACCCAGAGAAGCTGTGTCACTTCGTAAGTGCTCCTGTCATCATATCATACTGTTCTTTAATGGACTGACCATGTGATCTTATTCTGAAAGACCTCCCAACAAGCCAAGTGCCGCAGAAAGATTTCCTTAGCAAAAATCAACTCTGAACGCTGGTCTATTTCTACCACAGAAATCCCAACTCTCTAGTCAGTGAAAAGGTCTGAACTCTTACTACTGAACCAGAAGTAAAGCCACCTTCAGTATTAAAAAAAAATGAAGGTCACGAAGTACAGATCACCTAAAGAGCTAATATATTAACTTGTGCAATAATATTGCAATACCTTTCTGATTTTAACTGAATCCTTTAGGTTTAGAAAATAATCATCTTAGGTCAGAATAATCCAGACTGATGAATCCACGTAGATCTCAGGCTACCTTAGGGCCCTAGGATAAAAGACCCACAAGCAATCCAATCTTTCCAGGACTCGTATAGCTGGTAATATCATGCCAACTTTACAGTGAAAAGAATTGGAGCTCAAAGAACTTTTAATACTATGCCCAAGGCCACAATTATCTAGAAGAGTAAAAATCTGAGTTCAGGCTGGCATAACTCCAATGCTACCAACTAGACTGGCTGTCCCAGAGACAACCATTTAGTGTTACTCTAAGTAACACTACATTGATCCTTTTGGCAATTACAAGCCAATTTTATGTTCCATAACATGTTTCCTTGTCAAATATTATAGATTCAAGTTATGATGATAAAAAGAGGTGATAGTTCTCCTGTTTGATATGCCTACATTAAGTTGTTCAGATAAAGAAGAAAACAGGACAGAAGAAAACAGGATAGAAGAAAACAGGGCTTTTGGATGTCATTGAGAGAGAGATTGTCCAGTACTGGTCATGAGCCCACTTCTTTCTGCTTATCTTAGCAGCAGTATTTGGAAACAGAGGTTCTCAGGCTTGTTTTTACCTAGCCCTCAGGAGTTCTCTGGGAATATCACTAACACACCAGGGCTCACTGGTAATATTGCTCATTGTAACGAATGACATGCTTAAACCAAAAGAGTACCCTTTAAAATATTTCAGTTGATTAAAACATTCTCAAAACCCTCCCCAGACGTAACGCATTTGATCTGGCTATATGAACGCAAATTTTTAAAAACAGTACAATTTTGTTTTCTGACATTTGTAATTGATTTTACTTATATGCGTTGTTCATAATACAACCTCAATAAATGCTAAGTAAATAGATGGATGACTTAAAAAGTTAGAAGAAATGATATTGGAAAGATGCCACTGGATGTTGGAAGTGATAGTGAGACTTGGATATGCTTCAAGCGGTGTTAGCCCTCTTCTGGGCCCTAAAAGGTATCTATGCTCAGGATAATGACTCAGGGCTAGGCACTTTATTATTTTCTAGAGCTTAACTCCAAACTCCAACAAGAACTCTAGAAAAGCCGGGCTAGGGCCAGGCACAGTGGCTCACACCTATAATCCCAACACCATGGAAGGCCAAAGTTGGGCATGCACTTGAGGCCAGGAGTTTGAGACCAGCCTGGGCAACACAGCAAGACCCCATCTCTATGAAAAGAATTTAAAAATCAGCCAGGCATGGTAGTGTGTGCCTGTAGCCTCAGCTACTCTGAGACAGGGGGATTCCTTGAGCCCAGGAGTTCACTGCAACCCAGGAGTTACTGTGAGATACGATCATACCACTGCACTCCAGCCTCAGTAACAGAGTGAGAGCCTATCTTAAAAAAAAAAAAAAAAAAAAAAAAAAAAAGCTAAGCTAAACTAGGTGGAAAGTATTTCCTTCTGCCTAGCCTAGAGGTCTATACTATCTTCTCTGAGCCCAAACCAAAAGCTTAGATATTCCCACTTCAGGGAGAAAGCTGTACTCAACATGAAGCTGCCAGCCCAGAAACATTAAACCAGAAGCAGCACAAAAGAAGCACATTTTCTGAATGTTTATGACAAGGGACACAGGATCCAGAAAAAGGAAGCTTACACTGTTGATCGCAGCCATGTGCCTTACCTCTGGCCACATGTAAAGGGGAGACTAAAGAGGAACCACACACAGTTCTAATAGGACAGTGTGAAGTTATGTCCTCAGGTGGAAGCCAACAAAATACTCACAGTACTGATCAGCGAGATCAATACTTCCCCATCTTTGGGGAGGGAGGTGAGGGAAAAGTGGGAGAAGCCTTAATCTTTGCTCAATTCTTCAGGAAAAATAAGGAGGTGTGTGGTAGGAGCCTTGTACACTCTGCCCCAAAGGTATAACACGTACCTTATAATGGAATTTGCAATAAACCGCCTTTCCTTCTGCATTAACCAGCTTGAAAGTATGTGATCCATATCCATTCATGTGGCGATGGCCATCTGGAATCCCCCGATCACTGAACAAGAAAGAAACCTAAGGAACAGAAATATAAAGCCTAAAATGTTTTCATTTAAATCAAAACATCCTAGATTTTTAAGATATTCCTTAGGTTCCAGAAAGTCCCTTAATGACATAAAACATACTAGCCTATTTCCCATGGGAAGGGTTACCATTATTTTACCTGTAGAAAATAACAAACAGAAAAATTTTAAACCAAAATGATATGCAAATCACTAATACTATGACTCAAAATTCTATGAAGGAAAAAGCTAAAACAACCTGAAAACTGGCCTAATTTGTTATTCAAAATTTATTTTCATAGCAAATTTGGTACTACTTTCCCCTCACTTCCCTAATACAGAGCTTTACCTTGTACTAAAGACTTTCATCCTTACTATTGCTAAATATCAACTGACAATGTTGCTATCTATCTGTCATCACCATTTAAGGTTGATGAATGGGGGATGATTATTAAAGCCAGTCATTACAAAACTCTTCACGATCAAGAAATCTGAGGAAGCTTATTCCAATAAAACAGCCAAAACTGGAGAGACACTTTATGAGGAGGCATAATTAAACACTGCATCCCAAGTGATATAAGACAATGGAAAAAAAGGGTTCATACCTGATGCAGAGACTCAGGACGTAGGCTCCAGAAGTCCCAGACCATATCCGGATCCTTCAGATGCGTCTGAGGGTTTCTCTTTTGGCTGTGGATAAAAGATGGAAACTAAATAGAAACAAGAGAGAAAAAAATTCAAAAACTAAGTTTACAGGAATTATGGTGTCTTGCATTATACATGCCTATTACTAGGTTTATGGATTATAACTCTAAATACAATCCTGGAATTTTAAACTGCCAACCCATAAAATGAAATATACTCAACATAGACAACTGGCATCTAAGATACCCTAAAGTATTTCAAATATACTCAAAACTACAGTCCTTTTTTTTTTTTTTTTTTTTTTTTGAGACAGGGTCTCACTCTTTCACCCAGACTGGACTGCAGTGGCATGATCACAGCTCACTGCAGCATTGACCTCCTAGGCTCAAGCAGACCTCCCAACTCAGCCTCCCAAGTGGCTGGGACTATAGGCATGAGCCACCACACCTGGCTAATTTTTGTATTTTTTTGTAGAGACATGGTTTTGCCATGTTGCCCAGGCTGGTCTTGAACTCATGGACTCAAGTGATCTGCCTGCCTTGGCCTCCCAAAGTGCTGGGATTTATACTATTTCTTCCTGGAAAAAACATACCCACCCTCCCACATGCGCGCGCACACACACACACACACACACGGACACACACACACACACACCCACCTGCTGACTCAGAGCATGTAGAGACACCCTCTGTTTGTTTCCAAAGTAAAGTCCCTCTTTTTACTAATCTTCAATGTTCTGCAAGGAAAACTAAACTCACTTCCCATTAAGTCAATGTATCTTAAAATGACAAATCTAAGACCAGTGGTAACTGTTGCTACTTGATCTTACCAAATACAGAAAAATGTCTTGAAAAAAGTAATCCAGACAACTCATATTCTTTTCTTTCTGCCTTTCCCATGGTTTCTCCTCAAATGCCAACCTATTTGAAATCAATTTAAATCAACAAACATTTGTTGAGCGCAAAATACTCTATTACCTACCAATATGGGATCCCTGATGAAGAAAATGGGGGTGTTATTTCCAACAAGATCCCAGTTACCATCTTCTGTGTAAAATTTCACTGCAAACCCACGAGGGTCCCGAATTGTGTCAGCTGAACCCGATTCTCCAGCTACAATATTCAAATGAAAACAGGATGCATAAGCCACAGCACTTTACATCCAAGAAGCCTGGAGACATAAAGAAGCACCTGGATCCATCCTTTCTAATCCACTTCCAAGAACTAAATTAGGTATTTAAGTGCCCGGGTTATTATTTCTACCCACCAGCTAATTCAGTCCACAAATCAAACAAAAGAATTAATTGACAGCAATAAGAGAACATATGTAATAACAGCTGATAAGGTTATTCATTTAACATAATAAGATAACTTTGTTGAAACAGGTAATTAAGCTTTTAATTAAAATAAGGGAAGAGAATAATTATGAGGCTTAAAGTAGTGACAAACAGAATAAGTGAGTTGCCAAAATGATGAGGTTAACATTAAGAAAATGAGTTAAAATATTGGTTCTTAGTTCTTAATTTTATTTATTTTTACATTCCACGGTATTTTTAAAATGCTGAGACTGACACAGAAACGGAACTAGTCAAGCAGTAGGCATGATAAAATATAGTATGATAGATCTAATACTATCTCTGTAACATGAAAAACATCACTTAGCCTCTCAAAAACGAAAAGAATCCCACTCTGCAAAGTAGATCTACAAATTAGAGACTGTATCTGTAAAGCACCTAACCACGGCTGGCATAGAGTTAATTCTCAATAAAGGTCACTGTAGGCATGGTTATTAAATAAGATTTCCACTCTATTCTTCTGTTAGAGGCAACCACTTTGAGGAAAGCTCTTTCCAAATGTCACAGAATTGCAGAGGTAGCCTCTGTGTAAGTGTGATTTCCTAAGACCTCAACAAACAGAAATATAAGTAACTTCCTGTGTGTCTCCAAATATGTCTTCTACTGTAAAACCTTGCCATAATTTGGAGAAGTGCTTGTTTCCTATTTTCTAATAACTTTTTCTTTAAGTTATAAACGTCCCCAAAAAGGTGAAGTTGAGTTAAGCCATACCAATCACGCCAATAAACCAACTTACCAACAGTGGAGAACCGAACTGCGATGGGAGTCCTCTTTCCAATATGCTCAAATACCTTTGCCTTGGAATATTTGGTAATGTCATGTGTGACCTCAAAGTAGCCAAAGGCCCCTAACGAGAAAGACACAGAAATCCTTACCGTGAGACCATTACTCGGACATTCAGGTCCTTAACAGGCATGTGAGTAACAAGAGAAAATGATGGTTAGCACCAGCCTTCTGGGGGCTTCCAGTGTAATGGGGGAAGGGGAAATGTCCAAACACAAAATAAAGAGGGTGAAATGCAAAGCCCTATTCTATCACTCAGTGCTAAGTTGAATGCCACATAGCTGGAGCCAAGAGAAGGAGGTGAGAGCGGCTAGAAGTAGTCAAGGTTGGCCCAAGGACACAGGACCTCAGAGGGGCCTGAAGTACAGGTAGGACCTATGAGAGAAAGAGAAGAACAGAGAGAAGAGGAGATGAAACCACAGAGAAAGAGAGAATCTTTTCAACACCTAGCAAGGAAGATACAAAGCAAGCAACACACTAAACAAGTCAAGATGGAAAAATACACAAAAACCACTGGGGAAGATGGGAAGAAACCTTACTCAGGAAGAAGAGATGAAGAAATGCAGAAGTCCCAACTGGAAGTCCCAGTCAGCAAGCTACGAGAAACACTCCCTTTCTGTGGAGCTCTTTTTCCAACTGAGCATTTCACTTTCTTTCAAACACCACCCCCATCTTTTGTGTCTGATATAAGAGCAATAAAGTAAGTTTTACAGAAATTGTTGGAAAAAAGAAAAGGAAAAATCATCACAAACCCACCACCCTAACACAACTACCCCAAATTTTGCAGTTCATTCCAGTAATTACCCAATAAGTACACCATTTAAACTTAGTCGCAATTTGCAGTCGTGTCTGTATTTCTGTACAGCAGGTCCTCAAATAACATTGTTTGGTTCAACATTGTTTCATTATAACGTTGATGAGAAAAAAATCTATTCCTAGCTGAGGTCACTATCTGTGTGGAGTCTGCATGTTCTCCCCATGTCTAGATAGGTTTTCTCCTGGTACTCCAGCTTCCCCCCACATCCTACAGATGTGCACGTTAGGTGAACTGGCATGTCTAAATGGTCCCAGTGTGAGTCCACTCTGCAATGGATAGCATCCTGTCCACGGTTGGCTCTTGCCTTGTACCCCAACCTGTCAGGACAGGCTCTGGCCTCCCACCACCTTGAACTGGAATAAACTGGTAAATAACGATCTTATTTTACTAATCTTTCTTAAAGGTATGTATGGCTCACATTTATTTCAATGTTTAATATTAGATGTATTTTGAGTCTCTATTTAGAAGTTTGGTGATATTTTATCAGTCCGAAATATGCCATAGGAACTTAACTCTTGCTTATGTCAATTAGCCTACCGTAAAATTCGTTTCATTACATGTCGTTTAGCTTAAAGTCAAAGTTTCCAAGAACCTATTGACATTAAGTGAGGACTTACTGTATTTTTATTCCTTCAATGAACTGCATGATAGGAGAAATGGAAGACTGCTTTTTTCAAAAGAAACTATTTTATATGTAATGTTTAATCTGAGGAAATACCCATCATTAATTTACTAATTTCCCTACCGCAGGACGTTTTTCCTTTTTCCCACAAATGGAGATTTGGCACTTGTGTTAAAGGTCCTCCAATCCTTTGGGAAATAATACTTGACCCAGGTGCTGGGAAACAATCTTTTTACAGCAAATAAACACAGCACTTACCTGCTCCTTTAGCATGCACGACTCGCTCGGGAATTCTCTCTCGGTCAAAGTGAGCCATTTCATCAGTGAAAACCACATCCTGAACAAGAAGGGGCCCACGGGGCCCCACTGTAATCACATTAAGTTTGTCTCCTACTGGGTTACCAGCTCCAGTGGTCAGGACATCAGCTTTCTACATGAACACAGAAAGAAAGTGCAGGAGAGTTAGCACAAGCAAACCTTTCATTTAGACTGTCACAGATACATAGCTTTGCAATGTTTATACCATCTGCCCTCTTTTTACATTTCCTGTGTCCAAAGTACTAAAATCCGATAAGATGGGCCATTGCCTGAAACTTTCAGTCATGCCTCAGAAACCTTTGACAAATCTCAACACCAATCTGCTAAGAAACTTACTCCGAAGAGCAGAAAGATGATTTTGGAGCCTGAAAATGTGCTCAGCACCTGCTCCAGAGAAAGCCACTGGGTTCTGCAAAGCTCCCAGAGAGGTGCCTAAAAGCATCCTACAAATTTAACAGTGAAATGTCCAACCCAACAATGAGAAGATGGTCTCCAGGGAAGCTGTGCTGGTCAATACTTTACTCAGAACTTACAGATGCTTTATTACTGCCACGATGTTCAAGTACGCTACCCTGTTTAGTGCATCTCAAACAATGTACACCAGCTATTTGCAACATCTCTTTTCAATTAAAAAAAAAAAGTCAATGGCTTTTACTGTCACTAAAAGTAAACTGTTACTGGTAAGGTGGATTACAGTACCAATGTTTTAAAGATAGCAAATGTCTCTGAAATGGGATAGGTTACTTTACTGTAATAAAGAATTAATTTTAAGCCACCTGATTCTCCAATTTCAGTTACAGTAGAAGACACTCAGTTGTTCCTCCTCTAGAGTGACAGCGGCCTTCTTCTAGCCCCACGTGATCCTGGAAGCTCTTAGCTTCATCTAGTTCCATGGTCAGAGAATACTTTTGACCACAGACAAGTGCCTCTGCAGTGTCTTCCCCCGGTCACTGGAAATCAGGAGAGACTTGGAGGTGATGCAAAGCTACGCCACCCCCACCTGGGAGAGGAACTCAACGGTGTCTATGACAAACCTCAAAGACCAACTTCACACACAGAGAAAGGCACTATTTTTAGTATTTCCACACACCTGGAGTGGAGTATGTAGTTTTACTCCCCATGCATGTCTGTCCTGCATATTAAAACAAATTCCTGCCTCTTCTCTAGAAGGCAATAGGGCGGGGAGTAGGCACTTAAAAAACCACAAAAGATCTGTGAGCTGTCTGAAAAAAGACACTGAATAAAGGAGACCATGCAATTTGCAAAACTAATAAACAAGACCATCTCACACACTAGGAAATGCCCTTGCCACTAGAGTTCTATCTTCATTCAAGTGGGAAGAGGCCAACATGGCACCAGGGAGAAACCAAGAGTGCCAGCATTAGAGCCTGGGTCCAACTTCCAGTTCTGCCAATTACCAGCTATGGAGTTGCTGGCAAGTTACTTATTTATGAGTCTCCATTTTCATCTGCAAAACAGAATAATAACCACCTCCTAGGGTTAACACATGAATTAAAAGAGTTAAATGTAAAATGCAAGCCACACGTTCAGCACATATATGCTGTCACTTCACTGACTGTGAGAACATGACCTCACAGCAGAAGGAGCAAAGCATCTGAAGTTTTATTTTTCTAGTAATCATGACAGATGCCTACTCCTCCATCCACACTCTCTCACTCTACCATCTCTGTTCCTAAACCCATCTAGCAAAGCCCGTTCTAAACTGTCACAGTTTAAGGGTCCAATCAACACTTACCACCCAATCACACCACTCTTTTGAAGATACGTATGTTGCTAATACGTGTGACCCTCTGCAGGTTTATTTTTAAAGTAGAAAATGAACCAGAAAAAAAAAAAATTCTACTTTCTAAAGTAGAAAATGAACCAGAAAAAGAGCAATTTCACCTTTAGTTTAAACCTAAAGCCTTGGTTTTCAACCTTGGCAATGCACTGAAATCACCTGGGGAGCTTTTTAAAGCCTCCTGATGCGCGGGTCATTCCCACTAGAGATGTCTGACAGAAGTACCCTGGCTGAGGCCTGGGCTATTTTTAAATGATTCCTGTTCAAGCTAGGATTGAAAACCACTGACCTAGAACTACTGAGTGATAACAAAATTAAAATAATTAGAGAGCCAGAGCAAACCAAATCTGTCCTTTAAATGCTCTTTTCAACATATAAACAAGGTATTTAAGGAAGCCTTTAAAAAATAAACGGACATCCAGGCTGGGCGCGGTGGCTCACACCTGTAATCCCAACACTTTGGGAGGCTGAGGTGGGTGGATCACCTGAGATCGGGAGTTTGAGACCAGCCTGACCAACATGGAGCAACCCTGTCTCTACTAAAAATACAAAATTAGCCAGGTACAGTGGGGGGTGCCTGTAGTCCCAGCTACTCGGGAGGCTGAGGCAGGAGAATTGCTTGAACCCAGGAGGTGGAGGTTGCAGTGAGCCGAGATCATGCCATTGCACTGCAGCCTGGGCAACAGGAGAGAAACTCCGTCTAAAAAAAAAAAAAAAAAGGGACATCCCATAATAAAAGATAAAAGTATGAGAAAAGATACCAAGAAGCTCAGTAAAAGGAATGCTAAACAGGCAAGAGTGTTATTTACATGCCAGCATCCTTAAAGTGGAGAGGGAGCTGCCCCTAAGGGAGAGATGAGAGCACATCACATGTTCCCTTCTGGTCTGGTTACTGAATTAGGGTGATATGGTCAAGAATAAACACCACGCCCAAAGGCAGCAGGTGCAGAGTTGGATAAACGAATAAAGTACTAAAGCTTGAGGTGGTCTTTCCTGATGACACTGACTAATAAGAGTCAGAATGCTGGAATTATGGCAGTCCTCCCTCCTGCCCAACAAAGGAATCCCCTCCTTAACATCAATCCTGTTAAGAAATGAAACCTGAGTTTTTAAGTTACAAACGGAGGCTTCAGAATCTCTTCCATTTCCCCACTCTAATAGTTAGATCAATTGTCCTCATTTATATAACAGCTTTCCTCGCACAAGCTCTTGTACATACAATTTACCTTCAAAGCCAGTGGGGCAGGAAAGCTTCAACAGTCAGCAATAGAAAAGGGAAGCCAGGGAGCAAAAACTAGAAAGGAAAAGATCCCCCAACTTCAGGGGATGTTTAGAGCAACATTGGGTAAGAGGAACTGATCTAAACTGAAAGATAGAGCATTTATTAATATTAGAAGGTGAGGAGCAGGATGCAGTGTATTTAAGATGAAAATAATTCATGCAATGAAGATTTACTAGATGAAATGAGAGGGTGGGGCTAGAAAACGGACCACACAAGTTATCTCACTTAAGCTTCCCAATAATCCAGAGATGGATGTTATTAATCCCAATTATAAACTCAGAAAACTTAAGTAACTTTGCAGAAATGTCAGTGTTGTGGCACAGGTTTACTTGTTACATGTAACAAGTAAGGACAGGCAAAGAGATTTCCTCCAACTTGCAATTCTTGTTTTTAACTCAATGAATGACTTTAGAGCCAGAATATTTTTAAAGACAGAAAAGCTTTTCTATGGCTGAACAACTTCAAGACCTCTCTCTGGGAAAGTAGCATTGGTTCTTGTTAACATGTTTCCATCTTCCTGGCTGCCAGCTCCCATGACATCCACACGTCTCTCTCCTGAAGTGCTCTCTCTATCCTGCCCCACACCACCCATGAAGCAGGGCCAAGGGAAGCACCTTCTTGTGCCCCTTATAACAAAATACTGTAATTGCCTGTTCACATCACTGTGTTTCTTTCTGAGATGGAGTCTCGCTCTGTTGCCCAGGCTGGAGTACAGTGGCGCGGTCTCATCTCACTGTACCCTCCGCCTCCTGGGTTCAAGTGATTCTCCCAACTCAGTAGTTGGGAATACAGGCACCCGCCACCATGCCCGGCTAATTTTTGTATTTTTAGTAGAGACAGAGTCCCATCATCTTGGCCAGGCTGGTCTCGAACTCCTGACCTCAAGCGATCCGCCCGCCTTGGCCTCCCAAAGTGCTGGGATTACAGGCATGAGCCACCGCACCCAGTCTGTCACTGTTTTTCCTCTCTAGACTGTGTACTCCTTTTACATCTATATCCCTGATCCTAATACACTGCTCAATATACTAACAAACACAAAACAAATGTGTGTGGATATAGCATGCAAATAAACTAAACCATGGACCAATATGATATGGCCAAGAGCCTTCTAAGGAGAAGGAGGAAGCAGCAACAGCCTATCCCTTTCCCTGCATCTCTCCTCCAAAAAATGAGAGAAATATTTTAATTTATAAATTCTGATCAAATACCTTTAGACAAACTTGTTATGAAAACTGCCGCAGAAATTAGCTTGGCTAAAAACTGGCACAATTATTAGAGGTAGGGACTTAAAGTAAAATTCCATTTTGACTTTGCTGCTTTTATAGACTTCTTTTGGCCAGAGCTAATACATAAATGAGGAAATTTTCCTGGGAAGAGTAAGGTTGGCTTCATCTGGTGAAATATTTTATCAGTATATTACACTTTCCACTTAGTTCCCTTCACTCACAAAAGTCTCAAGAACCTAAACATGTTCTTCCACTTTTAATTAAAAGATTGGTAATGCAAATTGCCCCTGTCAGTCCCAGAGGAGTCATAATGATGTCTTCTCATTCTATGATAAAGAATGTGCCTAGCATTTTCTAGCAAGTAACTGCCTAACATTCTCCATTTATTCAACAAAGATTCAAGTGCCTACAACGTGTATACCCAAATACAGGAAACCAAAGACTGTAAGGGTGGTCTAGATATTGGCGGCTGTGGAAGCTAAAGCAACTCCATCTTAGACACTAATCCACCATGCTGACTTCTGATTAACTCCAGTTTTAAGATTTCCAGTTTATCCATTATTCCTTGTGAAAGAGCCCCTATTTACTATAAATCCTGCCCTGAGGTCAAACAACCTTGACATTATCATACTTCAGTCATCCCATACCTCCCTTCTGAATCACCCTTCCCTATGGTATTTATTAAGCCCTGGGTCTGAGGGGTAATGGTGTGGGATCCACCATCTTGTCTCAGCAACACGCAAGACACGGACATGGTTTCTGGTCATAAATCCGTATTAAACATTTCTTCCTGAGAAACTTGATTTGTCAGCCTCTTTGTTTGGCCTCTCAGCTTCCTCAGACTTTGGGAGTAAGTTTGCATAGACCTACCCTCCATGGAAAAGCTAAGAAAAAGAAACGAAACCTTAAAAACTTTTATCCCATCTCCCATAGTCTCTCCCATTGCACATTAAGACTTAGCGATCCCATGCCTAGGTATATTTCAGGAGAAATGAAAGCACATGTGAACCAAGGGTTAAGTCACTCAGTCACCCCTTCTCCATCCCAAATGTTGGCAGTGTAACATCAATGCAGTTATTACCAGGGTTACCCTAAAAAACATAGACCCTCACAGCCTATAATGCATAGGCAACTCACTGACATAAATGGACAGTCTAAGACCTAACCCTCTGCCAGGTAATAAGAGAACTGTATAAAAACGTAAGGTTTGAAATGTTCAAATTCTCCCATTTTAAAGGGATCAGAAGTTACTTATCAATACTTCCCATTTACCTCCAAGAGCACTGGCAGCAAGCTGCACTAAAAAAAAAAAAAAAGAAAGAAAGAAAAACAATAACAACAACAACAAAAAAAAACAGGAAATGGGTTAAAGGTAAGTATCCCAAAAGAAGAGCCCATGGCTTTCTGAGCAGCGAGCAATAAAGTTCCCATTTAAGTTCCCTTCAAAGTCACTGGGAATACCTGCAGAACCACCTTCCTCCTGCCAAGACAGAAAAAGAAATAAGAATTTTTAAGTGGATCGAGGTCATACTCATGAACACATCTGACTCAGTGCTCACTTATTAAAGTTTACAAAACTCCCAATTCACCTGTCAGCAAACCAAATCTGACCACAGAAGATACGCCCAATAAATTGCTTTCACATTGGTTGACTGTGTTTCCAAAAAAGGATACTCTGATTCTTGAGAGAGGAGGCAACAGAGTGCTCTCCTATAGTAGTCCCAAATCGTAAAGCTCTCCCAGATGAGTAAAGCGTCAAAACTAATTGGGAAGTGGAAGAGAGCATATTAGCACAAAGCTGTCCACTTAGATAAAAGCATTTACCAAGCAAGGGGAGACTTTTTTTTTTAATGCCATCTGTTACTGTCTTAATTTTCTAACAGAATATCTTAATGTCAGAAAGTAAAAATGACATACTCTTTAAAAAGAGATTATGTTGTGTGTCCATTGCCACATCACAAGAAAATGGATGGACAGATTTTCACCAAATACGAAACGTACGCTTTGGATAATGTAGTAGAGTAAGCTTCCTGGACACGGGTAGACTACCCCAGGTGTGGCCTGTAACAGAGTTCTAGCCAACAGAATGTAAGTGGCAGTAACCCTGGACCCCAAACCTTACCACACTCATATACCCTTCTCCATGCTCTTGAGCCTTCTGTGCTGGACAGTGATGCCCAGGGCAACCTTAAAAGCCATGTGTTGACCAAGGGGGAGCTTCCTTCAGCCTGGTACCCTCAATAACTGTGGGAAGCAGAGCACCCACCCACCTCCTTCAACCTCAAACCACTTTGGGCCATTCATGTAGGAAAGGAATACATTTCTTTTTTTTTTTTTCTTTTTGAGATGGAGTTTCACTCTTGTTGCCCAGGCTGGAGTGCAATGGCACGATCTCGGCTCACTGCCACCTCCACCTCCCGGGTCACCTCCGCCTCCCAGGTTCAAGCGATTCTCCTGCCTCAGCCTCCTGAGTAGCTGGGATTACAGGTATGCATCACCACGCCCAGCTAATTTTGTATTTTTAGTAGAGACAGGGTTTCTCCAAACTGGTCAGGCTTGTCTCGAACTCCTGACCTCAGGTAATCCACCCTCCTCAGCCACCCAAAGTGCTGGATTACAGGCGTGAGTCACCGCACCCGGCCATAAATTTCTAATATGTTTATACCATGATACATGTTGAGATTTATTATTATAACACCTAGCCTATACATGATTTCACATGATTTAACTTAAAATATGGGCTATGAATCAATAATTTAAAAGCAATTCAATTCTTAAAAGGGCAGAAAATTTGAACATATACTTCAAAGGAATATATACCAATGACCAATAACCATGTAAAAAGATGCTTTGCATTATTAGTCATCAGAGCAATGCAAATTAAAACCATAATGAGATACCACTGCATGTCCAACAGCTAAAAGCAAAAGACTGACAGCACCAAAAGCTGATAGGATATGGAGCAACTAGAACTCCATACACTGCTGATGAAGTATAAAATGGTACAACCACTTTGGAAAAAGGCTCAGCAGTTTCTCATAACACATTCACTTACCTTATGACCCAGTAAATCTACTCCTAGACCTACTCCTAGGTATTTCCTAAGAGAAATAAAAGCATCTGTGCACAAAAAGACTTATATAAGAATTTTTATAGCAGCTTTATTTATTTTTCATTTTTAAGACAGGGTCTCCCTCTGTCACCCAGGCTAGAGTGCAGTGGTGTTAATCATGGCTCACTGCAGCCTCCACACCCCAAGCTCAAGCAATTCTCCCACCTCAACTTCCCCAGTAGCTGGGACTACAAGCATGTGTCACCATGTCTGGCTACTTCTTTTATTTGTTGTAGAGATGGGGTTTCACTATGTTGCCCAGGCTGGTCTCAAACTCCTGAGCTCAAACAATCCTCCCACCTTAGCCTCCGAAAGTGGTAGGATTACAGGCATGAGCCTTCATGCCCAGCCACAGCAGCTTTACTTACAATAGAAAAAAAATTAAATAGCCCAGGTGTCCAGCAACAGGATATTCAAACGGTGCTATATTCATATAATGGAATCCTACTCAGCAATGAAAAGAACAAATTTTTTTCAACTTTTCTGAATGTTTGAAATTTTTCATTTAAAAAAGTGTTTGAAAATTATATAGGCTATAAGGCATATACATAATTCCTTTTGGAGGGCTCTGGGGGGAGGGAGAAGTGCCTCAAAGAAGTAAGCGGTTTTTACTCAGAGCAGCTAAAATCGAGGAACAATAAGACATCAATGTGGCTGCCAATCAGGACGAAGTACACAGTGCACTAAGACGCCATGGAAAAAGGGGACTGCCGTATTTCAATTAAGAGCCTCCCAACTATGGATGAGCTTTTTGAGTCAGCCATTTCTCACATGGGCAACTACGTAAGGTAAATCAACAGCAGGGACTTCAACAGTTCATGATTCTCCCAAACAAGGAAGAAGGCAGCTAGTCTCAGAATAAAGGGGAGTCCTTTAAAAATGAAAATATAGACCGTGCGCGGTAGCTCACACCTGTATCTCAGTACTTTCAGCGGCCAAGGCGGGTGGGTCACCTGAGGTCAGGAGTTCCAAACCAGCCTGGCCAACATGGAGAAACCCCATCTGTACTAAAAATACAAAAATTAGCTGGGTGTAGTGGCGGGGACCTGTAATCCCAGCTACTTGGGAGGCTGAGGCAGGAGAATTGCTCAAACCCAGGAGGCAGAATTCGCAGTCTGTGGAGATCTTACCACTGCACTTCAGCCTGGGCAACAGAGCGAGACTCCATCTCAAAAAAAAAAAAGAAAAGAAAAGAAAATATTTTGTTCTGTAAAAATCTCACTACTTTGTCCACACTTTTCTCAATTCACCAAGTATTCATGAAAACTTCAGTGTGAACCAGGATTTGCACCCACTGGGTAAGGAAAGAGTCTTGGGTCCAAGAAGCTGGATTCTAACCTTGTCTCTGCCACTAAGTAGTGGCACATCCTTTACTAAGACTCCACGTGTCTCTGGTTCACTTTAAGAGCTCATGAACCGTCCTAATGGTATATAACAAAGAACAGGGCCAACAGGGGAGATTTTCTAGGCCCTTGGAGGAGAATGGCAGCCTTGTCCCAAACAGGGAACCATTAAAGCAATCCATGAGCACTTAGCATTAATACCCCAGTTCGTGAGCCTGAGTTTTGAGCAATAGCACTAGGCAGAATGGGGAAAACAGGGCTGCAGTCCTCTCTCTACCATTAACCAGCAGCCAGGGAACAGCGCAAGACCTTTAGACTCCCTGGGCCAATCTGCCAACAGAAGACTCAGACCAGATGCAGTCTCATCCAATCTAACCTACTCATAGATGCCCTCTGCACCCATGGGCACAGGCCAGGAATGCCTCCCCCACCACCAAGTTAAAATCCTACTCATTTAAAAAAATTCCTGTTCAAATGTCACCTGCTTTGTCCAGCCCACCTGGTCACTCCCTCTGCATTCTACAGAATACCTATATTAGAGCCCTCACCACGCTGGAGTGTAATCATCTGTTTATGTGTCTTGTCTCCCAGACTAGACTCTTAGCTTCTCAAGACTGTTGTTCTTGCCTCATTGGAATTTGTACACCTTGCCCCGAACAGTGTCTAGCACCTGCAGGCGCTCAAAGAATAGAATAAATGCATTAACCAATCCCTAATGTCCCCCACCCCCAGCTCTAAAACGCTAGGCCTGATATTTTGAAGTGCAAATGAGACAATGGATGTAAAAATTCTTTTATTTAGTCGTTTAATAATGTGCATAGTACGTACCAGTCACTGTGATTGGTGCTGGAGACATCAAGATGATAAAACACAATCCTTGCCCTGCTGGGACCCCACAACTATGAAAGCGTGTAAACACTATTTCAAGAAGGGCAGCGTTAGAGCCTGGTTCCACTTCCCTGACTTCCTTGCAGCTGCAGCTCTCTGCCTCTTTCCCCATGAGCCCTCATTCTGTCCTCAAGCTGCGACCTCTGTCCCAGTTGGCAAAAGTGCAAAATTCTGAAGCAACCACCCGAGCCCGTCGCGGACAACAAAGCCTGCAGGCCCGCGCCCCGCTACCCGGACCCCCCTCCTCTGCTCCGGCGAATGTAAGAGTCCGTTTGCACCGAAGGGGATCCCCCTCCCCGCCCAGTGAGCCGCCGTACAGTCCCTCCCAGCGCCGTCCCAGGGGAAGCCGGGCCGTTACTCGCCGACGCCCCTACTTTCTAAACGGACCCTCGGGCCCGCTCGGGGAGCACAGGGTGTACCTGCGCGGCCCGCTGCTCCTTCCAGTGCTTCATCTGGTCGCTGGCGGGATCCCGGCTGTCAGCCATGGCGTTCGGTTGGCGGTGCGCAACACTGCAGGAAGCCTTCAGCAGGCAAAAGTGCCTGTTGCCCCGCGGCCGCGGCGACTTCAGGCTCAGCCAATCAGCACCGCCCCCTCGTCCCGCGCCCTCGGGAGGAGTGCCTTCTGATTGGCTGCTCGGCGCTAGGCAGGCCGAGATTGGAAGCCCAATGGGCGTGGAGCAGGGCTCCCCAAGGGAGGCGGTGCCCCAGAACCCGGAGATACCCGGGAGGGTGCGGAAAGGAGGGGTCCCGCGCTAGCCCAGCGATTGGAGAGCCTCGCCCCGCCGGCCCCGGGTGCCCGCAATAGCCGAACCCAGGTATCAGCATCCCTCAGGCCGGTATCAGCATCCCTCAGGCCGCCCCAGGACGCGGCCGTTGGTGGCCTGCCAGTTTTGCAGAGGGAATACTAGACCCTGCTGAGTGGGGCCTTGCACTCTAACTGTGCTTTTTCTGCTCTTAAAAAGTCAGCAATCTTGGGTCAAATTACTCTGTACGAAATTAAATTTTGCCATACGCTAATGTAAGTATTATTTGCAACCAAAGGATGGATGGATGCTTTTCTTTTTCTCTCTTAGCTTTTCTTAACTTATTCGTGGATTATCACTTACTAGACTAGTATACTAATTATTTAATATAAAAACACTCTGAAACGTTTATCTCCACACAGATGGGTGTTGATTTCCTCCTTTACCAGAGAAAAACAACTTAACTTAGATGGGAAAAATGTATTCCACTCCGGTACACTGCCAAATTGGCTTCTTTAAACACTGGAGAAATCTGCTTCCCCAAATTTTACTCCCAGGTAGGCAGAAATTTAGAAAAGCTCTGTGTCTTTCAAAAGCTATGTTGAACAGTAAAATAGTCCCATTTAGTACAATATTTAGTAAGTTACTGACTAGTTTGTCGTTGTAATCAAAGAGTTTGAATGATTTCTACACCTCAGGTGCTAGGATTTATCTTCAAGCACCTTAATATATATAAATAGTATATACCATCCTCTTCAAATTAAAAGTTATCAGCTTTTGATTTTTTCCAGTACAACTAGATGTAATGGGTGGATATATAATAGTGGAAACTTCACGTTGTTCTTGATCTTACAAAAGTATGATAAGAATCTTGGGCATAAAAGTGGAACTTTAGCAGTTTGTTGGAAAAGAAAGCCACAAATTGATCTTTAGCACCCTATACTTTTCCTGTATTAAAAACAATTGTAAAGATGCTGTTGGCTGTGTAATTTGGTGTCTTTTTCTACAGATTAGGAAACAGAAGTATAGGGAGGTTAAATAACTTGCCCAAAGTTACATAGTTATTAAGGGATAGAGTCAGGATTCTAGCTTCAGCTCCAAAGTCTCCAAAGTCCACAGTTTGTTGGATAAATAAATGTTGAGATAATCAAACAAGTCATCTTCTTAACTAACCAACACAAATATCAACAAAATAAATAAGAAGAGACCTGGAGTCATATGTTAACCTTTGTTCATTATATAAACACTATCCAGCATATGTGGCTTTTTTCCCTTTGTTTTTGTTACTCTGGGTTTCGATTGCTAAAGAAGTATTTCTAGAGAAAGAATTGGAGAAACAAGACTGGTTTCTGATCTTGTCATATCTTGTATTTTAAAATAAAGGGCAGGCTTACAAGTAATGACAATAAATTTATAATGTTACATAGGAGGCTGGGTGCGGTGGCTCATGCCTGTAATCCCATGTCTTTGGGAGGCCAAGGCAGGCGGATCTCTTGTGGCCAGGAGTTTGAGACCAGCCTGGTGAAACCCCACCTGTACTAAAAATACAAAAATTAGCTGGGTGTGGTGGCACGCACCTGTAATCCCAGATACTCTATCCCTTAATAACTGTGTAACTTTGGGCAAGTTATTTAACCTCCCTATACTTCTGTTTCCTAATCTGTAAAATGAAGATAATATTAGTATCTAACTGATAGGGTTGTTGAAAGGGTTAACTAAGCAAATACACAAACAACTTAGAATAGTCCCTGGTATATAGTAAGTGCTCAATAAATTATGGATGGGAGGATTCCGACCCACATGGAGTTTAGTCTTGGCAGTACGGATCGGGCAGGTAGAAAATCTTGAATCTCAGCTACGCAGGAGGCTGAGGCGAGAGAATCGCTTGAACGCGAGAGGCGGAGGTTGCAGTAAGCCAAGTGTTGCAGTGAACCAAGATCGTGCCACTGCACTCCAGCCTAGGTGACAGAGTGAGACCCCATCTCAAAAAAATTAAAAATTAAAAAAAGTCACATATTAGGTGGAAGTTCTATCGACTATATTTTAATTACAGTTTAAAAACACTTCTAAAAATCAGCCCTAGTTTAAAAATACTTGAAACCAAACCTGTTTGACTCCTAAAGATAATTGCAAGTCATTGGTTAGGTGAACAAATTGGGTTGTAGGTTTTAATATTGTAGTCATTTGAATTCATGAGTATTTTTATTGGTATGAATAAAAATGTTATTTTAAAAATGCTCTTCTCAGATTTTCAGAACTCAATGAAAATAAAATGTACCGGCACAAGACATACTGTTATTAATCCTGATATCACCAAATTTGAAACAAACTTACAAAGTAGACCATATAACAAATGTTCAAGAAAAATGTTTGAGTACTCAGCTAGGAATCTTTATAGACAAATTTTATTTCATCAGTATTACAAGAAAAGAATGGAGAGAATGAACATTATGTTTTGTTGGATGACAGGCGTACAAAACAGCACAAGGGGTAATTATTCTGTTCTGATTCCACCCATCCTCAGAGAGGCCGAGAATGTACTACATATATCAGTTTCATTCTCTTCACAGTGGCCTCATGAGGTAAATTCAGAGTTAGGCAAAAAGGAAGGAAAAAGAACACAACAAGAAAAAAACAGAGTTGCAATTCAGTATTGGTTATTGGCTTTAAGAGAAGAGAGTAACCATCACCACAGCTCCATGACTCCTGTTCACTGGGGAACAGGCTTGAGCAAGCAAGAGAAGAAGATGGGATTTGCTTTGAAAAGTAGCAGTGGTGTATATGCAGTAGCAGCACATACTTTTTGCTCTGCCTATTTGGCTGCACGTATCTTTCCCGCTTTAATATGAATAATTACCTACTTGGGAGGAGGCAACCCAGATGTCCCCTGGTGTCTGGTGATGTCCATAGCATGAGCTATCCTGAGGGGAAGAACATGGATGTGACTTTTTCCACCTCGGCCTTACGTGCCATGCTACTGATCTGGTGTTTACAAAAAGAGGAAACATAGGCCAGGCCTGGTGGCTCACGCCTGTAATCCCAGCACTTTGGGAGGCCAAAGTGGGTAGATCACTTGAGGTCAGGAGTTCAAGACCAGCCTGGTCAACATGGCGAAACCCTGTCTCTACTAAAAATACAAAAATTAGCTGGGTGTGGTGGCGCTTGCCTATAGTCCCAGCTACTCATGAGGCTGAGGCAGGAGAATCGCTTGACCCAGGAGGCAGAGGTTGCAGTGAGCCGGGGTCATGCCACTGCACTCCAGCCCGGGTGACAGAGCAAGACTCCATCTCAAAAACAAAACAAAACAAAAAACAGAGGAAACATATAAGAATTGGGAATTTGTTTTTACCTTATTTTTTTTATACTTACTAATGGAGGCTTGGAAAATGCAGGATAAAATATCAGAAAAACAATCATTCAAAGATGATGATAAATAGGTAACATTTTTACCAATATTTTATCTCTTATATGTATGTAAAGGAGTGTGTGTGTATGTGTGTGTGTGTGTGTGAGAGAGAGAGAGAGAAGAGAGTTTTACGATGGATCCTACAGAATACATAATCTTACATCCTGCTTTTTCCACCTAACATTATCAGATAAAACTTTTTGCAAGTCATTAAATCTTCTTCCAAAACATGATATTTTTCTCCTATGGCTACGCAATTTGCAATCAAAGGACTATTCATTTATTTACATACTCCTTTATTGAGAACATTTAAATTGTTTTCTTCTATAACAGTACAGTGACATCTTCCTCTACATTTGTATTTATTTCCTTAGGACCTATTTTCAGAGGTCATTTTTGGTTCAAGTCATTTGAACGTTTTAAGGTTCTTGTGACATGTTGTTGATTGTTTTCTGCAATGCTCGAGCTAGTTTATACCCTCACCGGCACTGAGAGTGTGGATTGGAAGTGCAATTTTCAAGTAGGTGAATATCTGGATTCTGGATGTTCATCAATTGCGTATTTCATCACATTCTTCTGAGGGAGAAGGCCTCTCGTGTTATGTTCAGCCATAACCACTACCCCATGGGAGTCATCCAATATACTGAATGTCTGCTGTGTCCTGGGCTCCCTGCCTATTGGGCTCTGGGAGTACAGCAGCAAAGGAGGTGGACATAGACAAATAGGCAATAAACACTGCATCCTCAAAAGAAGCCAGAAGCCACATGGCTCAGCTTGGGGGCCTGTAGTTTATCATGTTGTCTTCTCAGGAAGACATTCCTTGACCACCTCTTTTAACCTGATAGCTTCCTCTGGCACTTCCTGTCATGCCTTCCCTGCTTTATGTTTTCTCCATGAGCCTTCCCCCTTTTAACATACTATATAACTGATTTAATTTGTTTATTATGTATTTCTCCTACTAGAATAGAAGCCCATGAGGATTGGTGGGTTTTGTTTCTGGTTTTGTATTTTCTGCTTATTCTTAGCACCTGCAACAGTTTTCTGGCATCCAGGAGGTGTTAAACCAATATTTGACTAAATGAGTGAACAAGCAAGTGAATTAATAGATGAGGTAACACCAAGATAAACCATATTACAAATAAACAGAGTAAGTGATGATTTGCCTTGAGGGATTTGAGAGAGAATTTGATCAGATCCCTGGCTCCAATACAGATACCCTCCCATTTCATTTTTAAATATATTTTCCTTTAGGACTTGAGTACTTTCCCATATTCTCAAAAAGAGTTCTCTTTTAAAAAATAGATATATTGCCAGATGCTGCGGTTCACACCTGTAACCCCAGCACTTTGGGAGGCTGAGGCGGGTGGATTGCCTGAGCTCAGGAGTTCAAGACCAGCCTGGGCAACATGGTGAAACCTCGTCTCTACTAAAAGTA